AGGGTGGTCTATCAAGAGGATGGAGATAATCTTCTTCTCTATAACTATAGAAGACAGGACTAGGAGCAATAGCCTCAAACTGAAGGAAATTTAAGTTGACGAAATGTAGGGAGATCTTTCTGACTAGGAGGATAGTCAGCCATTGGAAGTTGTGAAATCTCCATTCCTGGGAATTTTCAAGAGTAGGTTAAACAAACACTTTGGCTGGGATGGTTTAGTTGGGGATGATCCTGCCCTGAACAAGGGACTGAACTAGATAGCCTTGTGAGGTCCCTTTCCAGCCGTACTTTCCTATGATCCTAAGTAGAGCTCCACTGATATAGGCAAGTTGAAATCTGATCCTATGCTGCTATCATTTGCAATTATGATGTACTGCCTTCCCAGCAAATGAGCTGCAGTGGTCATAGAAATGTCCTGTTTGTTTTTTTAGCTTGTGCTTGGGAAGTGTTTACACCACTGTAAGCCAGGGGCTGGTACTTAACCATGTACTTCAGTGACCTGTACCCTAGGTGGGGCAGAAGCAAGGTGGTGAAAATCCGACTATGTGTTTAACTCCTGTTAGATTACTATTTAAAAATCAACCCTTCTTCTTAGCAAGATGGTTTCCAGGGAACACCCTCTGCTTCTTGACCACTATGCACTTGCTCCCACCATGGAACCGGTGGTGTTGCCTCCTTTGTTGCCCTGAGCAAAATTGTGGGGTGGGGAACACCCAGGGATATGTCTGGGACACAGGGCAAAGCAAGGGGGCTCTCAGGTCTTGACAACTGCAGGGCTCCAGCTCCACAGGGAGGGGAAGGACACCAGAGTGGAGCCGAAGTAGCTCTAGAGTTCTGATAGCTTTGGGGAAAGTTGTTCCCCAGCTAGGGAGTTAAACCTCTTGCCTACCCCCCTAGCCTTCCCAAAGATGCTGCCAAATACCATGTTGAATGAAGGAATAAAGTGCCTAATTCGGCAGCACGGTGGGTGTCACCTGTATTCACCCCATTTCTGTCCTTCATAGCATTTAGCTGCCAGGGCCAGAGAATCTCCTTGATGTCACTGCCCAGCTCCTAGCTCCTCCCCTCACAGCCTGAGCCTGTAGCTCAGGGGTGGGCAATTATTTTGGGCGGAGGGCCGCTTACTGAGTTTTGGCAAGCTATCGAGGGCCACATGGCAGGCAGCCAGGGGCAGATAAATACTAATTTTCTAAATTTTTTAGGGGCCCCGTGGGGCCTGATCCTAAACACACAGTCGGATTTTCACCACCTTGCTTCTGCCCCACCTAGGGTATAGGTCACTGAAGTACATGGTTAAGTACCAGCCCCTGGCTTACAGTGGTGTAAACACTTCCCAAGCACAAGCTAAAAAAACATGGCCTGGCAGGCCACATCCGGCCCACGGGCCGCATTTTGCCCACCCCTGCTGTAGCTGTTGGACTAGCAGCATAACTACTTCTATTTTGGTACCCCCCCAACCCCCATCAATCAGCACCTGAGACTGGTGCCCCCTCATCCTTCCCTAGTTACACTCCTGCGTGGAACTTGTATTCTCCAGAATCCATCTGTCAGTTTGAGACTGTTCAACCTTTCCTGTGGTTGAGGGAAGTGGGCAAGTAGCTAGGAGCCAGCTGAGGATGCTGACCTTAGGTCTGAGATTTGCGCAGGGCTGTACCAGGTCTTGCTGGAGCATGTAGGAGGCAGATTTTCTGCACAGTGTGATGCAAATATTCTGCGGGCAGAGGCATCCCAGTGTTTTTTTCCCTTGCAGATTACTCATCGGGGAAGGAAACTGCTTATTCAGCCATTAAGTGAACTTCAGGATCCCAAGAGCTAGCTTTCGATCTGAGATCTCTGAGGGAGAATACATAGTGCCACTTGGGGGGTCTAGAAGGCAGTTATTGTGTGCTTTTTCTGGCCCAGTGCTAAAGCTGTAAGAGATTTTCCTTTCTTTTCACTGGGAAAGGAATAGATTAAACAGGGATGGAAACCAAAGTAGCAAATCCCATTCCCTGACCTGCACCAGCTCAGCCCTCCTAGCATCTCTCATCCTGTATCTGTGAGACTGGTCTCTTGAAATCATCACCACCCTGTGCACATGCTAGAAATCCCCTGGCAAACTTTCTATCCCCTCATTCCTGTTTTGGACACCTGTGAGTCAGTGGTCTCCCATGCAGAGGCAGCCCAGAACTTTGGGGTTTTACAGTACATGGGCTATTGGAAAAACAACAATGTGGATTACTGCAGGAGGGTCCCTGCATCAATTGGACTAATGATGGGGAGGCATAAAACTTAAAGGAGCTTCTTTTTCCCCCCTCCAAATAGGAAAGAATCATGGTTTTCCCAAGAGGTAAAAACTAGGAAGGGGCGGGATTTTTTCAAAGGGGGTTATTAATAACATGAAAAGTGCATTTGCTGTGTACTGCCTCTGGTAAGTTGATGCACCAAGTTCAGTGCCTTTAATATAAAATAATATTGCTGCCTTTTGATTCAAGGATTGCATCATCTGTATGGAGAAGCTAGCATCACCTTCTGGCTACAGCGATGCATATGAGTGCAAGATAATCAGACCTGAAACTGTGGGGCGACTGGCAAAATGCCAGCACACTTTCCACCTACTCTGTGTGTTGGCCATGTACACCAATGGGAACAAGGTACTGAACTACCCCGTCTCACTGACTTGCAGGGTGAGGCCAAACCCAGGAGTGGGGCCCAGCACTGCAGATACTAAAGTCTTGTAGCTGTGTGCTTCTAATGGTGGCCCTCTTTCCTCACAGGATGGGAGCTTGCAGTGCCCCTCCTGCAAAGCCATCTATGGAGAGAAGACTGGTACTCAGCCAAAAGGGAAGATGGAGGTGTCAACTTTCCCTCGGTCCCTCCCTGGCCATGAAGACTGTGGAACAATACAGATTGTGTACCACATCAGTAGGGGAATTCAGGTACTTGGGTAAAGGTAACCCTGTTACTAGGGAGCACTAAGTCCAGGAAGTATATGGAACTGGCTCAACAGCCATCTTTTCCAAGTACTAACCAGCTGACTCGATTTCTCTTCTCTTCCTCAGTAGGAGCTTGTTTGAGTTGCCCCTGATGTCGATAGGAATTGCTTTGGGCAATCGGATCAAATGATTCAGAGACTCAGATCCATCTTAAACCAAGATATTTGGAGCAGGGGGAGGGGAATAATTTAACCTCATGGCCACGCAGCAGCTTTGAGTATTGCTCAATCACAATATTTGTGGCCATGGAACTCTTAAAGGAAGGCCTTTATTTACTTGGGAGCTACTGGGCTCTCTTCCCTACTGGCTTTCACCTGATGTCGGTGTTAATGCTTGTACAGTGGTGCTGTGGAATTGCTAGCAGCGTTTCCACAAGCACTGCACAGGTGTGAATGGACTCACAAGATATGAATTGGGCAAGATTTGGATCAAGTAGTTTGTAAACTGAGCCATCTGAAGTTCATATGAACTAGACATGGCCAAGAGGTTGGTTCCTAAATCTTATTTCTCCCAAAGCTGGAGTGTATTCATACCATGACTTATAATTTTTTTTTGAATGCTTGCTGGATAATTGAGTCTACCAGCATCTGAAAGCCACAAAGTTCTCTTGGGACATGCCAACCTCTGAGAAGAGATCTGATTTGCTTTACAAGGGATTAGGTGGCCTCTTAAGTAGACCCAAGGACCTCCCTTGTACTGAAAGTCTGGCTTCAGACAGGACTATCTTGAATCCTTCTGCTATTTGAACCTTTTTAATTATTTCCTGGCATCAGCCTATGTAAAGTTGTAAGAATTATTATAGCACATGTTGCCTTTCTCTGTTGCAGGGTCCAGAGCACCCCAATCCAGGGATGCCATACACAGCAAGAGGCTTTCCCCGTTACTGCTACCTACCAGATAATGAGAAGGGCAAAAAGGTAACTGGCTTGTCTGATAATTGCTGTCCTGGTAACCTTTTCACTTTGGGCCCACACACGTTTGTTTTTAGCCTAAAATGAGCCATGTCTAAAACATTTCCATTTTGTGGAGCCAACTGAATTACCTTAACTGATCTGACATGGTTGGAGAGCATATTCCAGAAGCTCAGATCTGCTAGCAAAGCTTCCTTGTTGTTTTTCCCCTGTCCCATCTCCAGGTCCTTGAGCTATTGAAGGTGGCCTGGAAGAGACGCCTGATTTTCACGGTGGGCACATCTAGCACAACTGGTGAGAGTAACACAGTGGTTTGGAATGAGATCCACCACAAGACAGAGATGGACTCAAATCTCAGTGGCCATGGCTACCCTGACCCCAACTACCTGGACAATGTGCTGGCGGAGCTGGCAGCTCAGGGTGTCACCGAGGACTGCTTGAGACCATGAGTTGCTCCAATCCTGGATTTGTACAGCGTCTGTGCATTGCACACTCAATGCCTACTCGAGCCTGTGAATGGCAGCTAGTGCACTTATTCCTGTTGCCTTAAGTTCCTGCATCTAATCACTTGTCACACTGAGCAATAACACTAAAGCCACATGTTCTGTACAGTCTGTTTTCTGCAGAGAAGGCTATTTTTGTATAATCAAAGGTCCTGCAAGTGTACATTGTAGCACTGATGCTGCAGCCAGGGCACACTTTGGAACATGTTCATTCGGTGGCTAAGCCTCTCCTTTCCCTGCGTGCTTCAAAAGCACTTGGGCAGGCATGACTCTTGCCCAGGTGCTGCCTTGGGGGGAGGTCTTGCTGCCTTTGGATCTGCAGCAAGTGGAAAGAGATGTCCTTGCTTGTCCTGCCAGCGAGCTGCAACTGCGCCTCACTCAGGCACTTTAGGGTACTGCGCCTTCCCCTGTTGCTGGTTTAATACGTATTACTTTTGTGTTGTGGTCATAATAAATGCTGCGTTGCCATGGAGAATTGCTGATTAGCCTTGAAACAACATCCAGTGCTTTTGATGTTTCTTTCTTAGACGTGGCTCTTCTGATGGAGCTCGTCCTGGACTCCCTGCAGCATCCAGCAGTGTTTGTTCACCAAGTGAATGGCTGCCTCTCTGGATACAACAGGGCTTTTCTCAGCAGTGCAGCCCAGGCCTCTTAAAGGAGTGTCATGGACATGGTGACCTATTGCAGACTAATCCACTGCCTGTCCCAGGAGAAGGAAGGCTCCTTAGTAGACTGGTTCTGTGTCCTTTTTTCTTTCCTGAGAAGACTTCTCATTGTGCTGCCTTAGAACACAATCAATTTTATTGTGTTGGGGTAGGGAGGAGTTGGCACTTTCCTTGTAAAAGCCCTCCCAGTGGTGACATGGCCTTAGAGAAAAGAGGGTCATCTTGTTCCCTAAAATGATTTGGCTGATTTGACTTGGGACAGGAATTATTTTTAAGGAAGAAGTGAAGTGTCTAGCTTCCAAGGCAGGTCCTGAGCCCTAGTTTGATTCTCTGCACAGGCTCTTGTTCTTTGTCCTGTAGGATAGAAAAGCTATAGGCCTGTGTGTAGGAACCAGCAGCTGCAGTGTTCCTGAGGTGGTGAGGGGAGTGTGCAAAGGGCCACCTTCAGTTAAATGTCAATCGGGGTTTGCCTTGCTCAAAAGGTGACTTCTGGTTGGGCTAAATGCCCCTGTTTCAAAAGGCATTAGATGCATCTAATTTTAACTAAAAACCTTTGCCTCAGCCCCTGTGGACAGTGCTCTAATCAGGCTAGTGCAGTCTTCCCTAATCAAGCACCTTTTCCGTGACGCTGTGGGCTATACAATGTGGGGGGAAGTTGACCATCGTATATGTGTGCTGTTGCCTCTCTCAATGGAGCAAGTCACTTGGTGAAGCCAGCTGTGGCTGGGTATCTGCTGCAGAGTCCTAGTTGGTGCTATACCTCTGCAGCCTTCCCCAAAGATGATCTTAGGTGGCTTCTGAAGGGGTGAAAGTGTCTCCCTTTCTTTGTCACCTCCAGCTTAAAACAAGGGTGCAGGGAAGAGCAGGGGGTAATTGCTTCAGTAAAACAAACTGGAAAACCCCCAGTGCTGGCACTTCTCAGACCCTGGGGTAAACTTTGAAGTCACTACTGTCTGGCCCTTTCCTGCTGCATGTAGTTGAGCTGCCTGGGTAAGGGGCTCTCCCTTTCTCTGACTTGTAGAATTAGAAAAGGTAATGTTGCAAGCATGATAATGGAGAGAAGGGAGGTTGGTGCCACCGTGTGGCTGTAGATAGGACTTGTTTCAGTAAGCTTTCCTGGAGACAGACCTGCCTTTTAAATGCCATGGGTAGCAATTACTTCTCCTTTCCAGGCAAGAGTAATTTAGTAACTTGCTCTCACTCCACGCAGTGCTCTAGTTGATTACAACTGTCAAAGCACAGGGGCCCTGGGAAAGCATTAGTGGAGCAATCAAAGTCAGGTTGCTGCCACTTTATCCCAAAGCAATAACCATGTCCAGGGTAAGCGAAAGGATCAGCCCCTTCTCAAGCCAGAAAGATTATAGCTCTGAAACACATTGATATCACACTACTTTGTCTCTGCTGTCCCTTAGCCTAATTCTCCTCCTTGTAGGCAGCTGCTGCTAGCTGTAGCTGTGTAACTTTGAGCCCCCATCAGCATCTTTATTAGATTTGTTCCATGAAGTCCCAGAACACAGGGGCTCCTTGCTCCTGCACTTGCCTGTCCCATGTCAGGTTTTCGCAAGCTAACACCTAAATTAGGAGCTAGCGGACAGATTTTAGGTGGGATAATTTCTCAGTGTTAGTTCATGATTTAGCTGGCAACTAAGGGTGTGCCCCCAAGACTGCACACATGCAATTTGCAGCACTGCAAACCTCACATGCTGCACATGCATGCATTCGCCACACTGCTAATCAGTAGCTCAGCAGGGTTTTTTGACACTGGGAAATCCCAGTGACAAAAAATACACCAAAAAAAGCACCACAGCATACATGGCTGTGGCATACGCAACTCAAAACCAAAGCCTGGCTGCCTGCCAGGTTCCACGTGCCCAGATCACTGCCACTGAAGCCCCAAGAGGCCCCCAGGTAAGGCTGCTGGGCTAACCCAGGTGTTGGCCCCAGCTTCCCCTACCCTACCTGGAGCAATTTGCCATGTGCCATAGTGCATGTGCAGGGGCATACCTGGGGACAACTACTGGCAGCACAAATACATGCTGCTGCTACTTGTCCCCAGGCAAATGCACATTCTCACTTGTGGGATGCACCCTAAGTGTCCATTTAGAACCAGTCCCTTCCAGTTAGACACAGAAAGTGCAACCTTCTTTTGCTTGTACCACCAAAAAGTTAAGGTGGCCCTAAAGACAAGAGACAGGGCAGGCCTGTCTCTACTTGAGAGGGGTTGAGCAGCTTTCTCTGTTCAACGTGATCGCTGCCCTTTGAATCAGTAGACAGGTGACTTTTAGTCAAGGGGCCTATATCCTAATGTGGAAGCACTTTTATGGTCGACCCTCCAGCACCTCTAAGAGATCAGAGCAGAGGTACTAGCTCTGTTCACCTAGAAGCCATCCTCCTAATTGTTCAACCAAGAAGAGCAGTAAAGCTGAGGAAAACAAACCCATGGGATTTCTTAAGTGTTTGTTTCCCTCAGGATGCATCTATACTAGTGTCAAAGGGGAGTGGGGGGTTGCAAGCTTTGCGATGCCTGGTTTTAAAGGGTCATGATGGTCCTTAATGAAGACAAGACTGTGGTGTCCTGTGTGTAAGATAAAGAAGAGTAAAAGTCTGGTGAGGGATGAGGAGTAGTGAGCCCAGAGCTGAGTGGCTGGAGGTCAGCTCCTGCAGAGCTCCATATTCAAAGTGGGACTGATGAAGCTCTTGGGTGTAAGGCAAGGAGTGGAAATGGCCAAGGTGAGTCTGCTGTACAGGCTGCCAGAGCTGTGCAAACAGGAAGCAATGCCTGACCTGATCTCTCATTAGCTTACAGGTGGAATCTAGGCCTCTTACATGACTTCTTGGCTGAGCTGGGGGTTGAGCTGGTGTTTATGCAACCAGCTGAATCATGACATCTTTGGAGATATTAGCTTAATACTTATCCTGTGGAAAGTATTTTGTGGCTCAGGTGGGTTACAAGCTGCTTGCCTTTTAGGATGCTGGATTGAATCCAGATCCTGCCATAAATGGCCCTCGGAGCTTGCTTTGCATTTCAGCAGAGAAGATTTTGGAAGTGTGTGAAGGAAAAATAGCAGGGGCATAAGAAGGCCCAAGCAGCATTGTCATGGTGCATAAAGGTGGAGCGCTGCTGGGCAGGGAGGGTGCTTTACATGCCTTTGCTATCTAAACCTGCTGGGGGGCTTTTGGCTGACTGCTGCATGGGAATCGGGAAGTAGTTGAGGGATGAGGCTGGTGGTATTCTATGGCGGGGGGGTCCAACCTGTGGCCTTATTTGATCCTCCTTACGATGCTGTCAGACCAGGTGATGCTCAACTTCCCAGCGAGGCCGGCTCTGCACATGGGGGATGCATCAGCCTTGTGCAACACTTGGAACCCATTTGCAGGGCAGAGGGGAACAGCAGCTCTTTGGGGGTCGTGTTTATTCTGGGCCTGTGAGGCGTCTGCCACAATAGCGTCTGTGGCAGGGGCTTGTAGTTGCTATTGTAGTGCAATAATCATGTCTCCTCGTATCCTCCTGCTAAACCCTGCAGCAGCTGGCTCTGTGCCCAGGGCGGCTCCCCTGCAAGAGAATCCTGCTTTTAATCCGTTTCCACCTTCCTGGGCTCAGGCCCTGCTCCTGCATATACTGGCATCCAGGCATGAGCCACAGTTACCCTTTCTCAGTGACCCAATCCCAGGTGAGTCTGGCCTACTGCCATGCTTGCAGTCAAGTGCATGTGTGTGTGTGTGCATGTGTGTCGGCAGGAAGAGGCATTAACGAAGTGGCACATCTTGCTTGATTTATATGGGAGGAAGAGCCACTGTTCACCCGTAGAATGCTGCTTAGTTCGATAGTGTCTTGTAGCAGCCTCAGAAGCCATAGTACAAGGGGATGCTGAGGTAAATTGGGGTCTACAACCCACCTTGCCTTGCTCTGCTTCCTCTCTCCTGCCTCTCGCTGGCACTACCAAGGGGTGGGCAGAACAGAGACCAAATTGGGTGTGGGGAGAAGGAAGGAGGTGCTGTTTTTGTGACTCCATGGCACAGCAGGGCTCCATGCTGAAGAGGCACCAAAGGTCCTGAGGAGGAAGGGGGGCCATTACTGACTTGGAGGTGCGACACCATCACCGCAGTGGGGAAGGAGAGGGGCTGCTGGGAGGGAGGGAGTCAGGAAAGGAGGAAAGAGTCTAGAGTCAAAGCCATTTTCCTCCAGGGACAGGTGTGCTGCCCCACAAGCTGTGATGTGGGGAGGCTCTCTGTGAAAGCTAGGTAGTCCTGAGGCCTTAGAGCAATGGCCGTCACTCAGCCAGGGTGCCAGGGCACCCAGAGGTGCCATAATGTCTTTTGCCATGAGGTGTGAGATATGCAGGTATGAGGGTCTTAAAGGCCTTTACAGAGGGAGGGCCAAATGCCTTGTTAACTGTTATTGCAAATTGAGGCACAGAGTGGGACCATGACTTGCCCAAACTTACAAAGTGGGCCAGACACCCTTTCCCCTTAAGCCCAGGGCAGAGCTCCATCCACTCAACATGCCTGCCCCATCCCAGCAAAGCAGCAGGGCACTGCCTCATCCAGCCACAGCCTCCTGATGCAGCTGGATCCCTGTTTACCTTGGTGCTGGTGCTCTGTGTTTGGGAGTGGGGGTGTTGATCACATTAATAAGCACCCATCTGAAAGCATGGGCAGTCCCAGACTGTTGAAGACCGCAGGGAGCCCATTGGAAAAGCCCTTACCCAAGTAACCGAGCTCTGAGCACTCTGTGCACTCGCCTTCATGCCACGGGCCTGAAGGGAGGAATGAATCAACTGAGCTGCTCAAGAAGATGTACGGATGATTTCCCTTTGGGAATTGGGGCTCCTGGGCAAGCAGGGAGAGAGGGGAGAAGGAGTCTTTTGGTCTCTTTCCTTCAGTACAATGTAGCTACCCTGCCTGCTTGGGTCTAGGCAGCATTTGCACACCTGCAGTGCTGTAGGGCAGGGGTGAGCCGAGGAGCAGAGCACGGGGCAGATGGGAGAGATACTTCGCTCTTCCAGTGCCATGCCCGGGGTAGGGCTGGGGACAGGTGCAGGGCGGAGGAGTTCTGCAATGCCATGGGACAGGTCTGGGCTGTGGAGCAGACGATAAGGACAGGTCTGGTCAAATACCTGGTTAACTGTTGTCATTGCCTCCAGTGCAGTCTCCTTCCCCCTGTCTCACTCACAAAGTTTCTTTAACCCTCATTCATTCTTGCAAATACTCTGCATTTGAATGAAGCAGGCTACTTGTTTGTTAGGTGTGTTGTAGGAAGTGCAATCTGAGACATGCTGACTGAATGATGGGGAAATGAAACTGAGCCAACCTATGTCTGGACTGGACTGTTTAGCCTCCTTCTGCTGACAGCAGTGTCTGAGGAGAGGAGCTATGTGGGTCCCTGCACTGCTGGCTTTCCCACTATGCACCAGCAATGAGCACTGTTAAAAATGAGGCAGTTTATTACTGATGGAGAACTGATCCTGTATGTATGTGAGTGGAGCATCTGAATGGGAGACTTGGGTTGCAGATGCTACTCAGAGCAATGACTCTCCCATTGCCACATGCACAACACAGGGCAAACCCCCATCCCACTGAGGTTTGTGGCCAATTGCCCACCTACTCTTTAGGAGGTCAGCAATCAGCACATTGACCGCCCCCCCTGCAGTTCAACTGCACTGGGTGGATCCTTTTGTAATGAGCATCTGCAACAATACCATCATGCAGCCCAGCCAATACAGCTTCCTTAGCTGTGTCCCTGCCCAGGCTGTGTCTGTGACAGGTCGGGGTTTTTACCCCAGCTCTACCAGTGGCCTGCTCATTGACTTCATGCAAGTTGCTTCTTCTTTATGTGCCTCAGTTTCCTCATTTGTAAAATGGGAATAACAACAGTGCCCTCCTTTGTCAAATGGTTGGAAACTTACCATTGAAGGGGCCTGTTGCAGCAGCTGGTGTGTTTAATTCTCTATTAGGCCTCATGATCACTGTGCTACTTTTTTCTGCCTGATTGCCAAGCTAGTGCTGGGATCTGGAGGGGTCTTTTAGCTTTGGGAGATTATGGTTGGGCTTGTGGGCTGCATGGGCCAGCATGTGTCTAGACACCACCAGTGAGTGATCTGAGATTAGAGCTAACACAGTAGCCATTGTTAGTGAGTCTATTGAACCCAATACTCTATTAAGAAAACAGCAAGTAGCAGGCAGGTTCCTAAACAAATGTGGGAGCTGCAGAGCAGAGGGACTGCGTGGGACTGCTAGTATGGGTGCTCTTCCTGCAGCGTGGGCAAAGGAATTGGGGCTACCAGGTGGTTCCAGCTAGAGACCAGAAGCCAGAGCCTCAGCTTGGCACATCCCATTGACCCCACTCTGATGCATGTGTCCTCTTGCCTGGTCTTCTTCTGCTGGCACTGTCACTAGGACCCTGTGGGAGAAGACCCCTTTTGCAGATGGCTTCCCTCTGTGAGGGACAGATCCTGTTTTTGATTTTTTGGAAGCAAACAGGGTTCCAAGATGCATGGGAAGAAGAAAGAAAGAAAGAATGGAAATTGTAGAATTTCTTAAAACAGCTAATTGGACCGAGGCCCGATCAGTTTGGCCAAACTCAGCTACATCTCAGTGCAAGGGAAATCACAGCCAGAAGGTCACAAGGTCTGACTTTGTTTTCTGGAAACACGATTAAACTATTTTGTGCATGACTATCTCACCATTCCCCTTACTGCATGCACACGGCACTCACGCAGCTACGTGCACAAGGGAAGGGCCTGAGATCCAGTTTTGTGTTTATCAAATGAGCTTTTTTCAGCTCTAAGGAATGTGAAATGGGGCCTCATGGCATTTCAGCTCCTGATGAGTATCAGTATAAAGAGAAAGCTTGACAGCACTTTGTGTTCACCTCCCAAATATCCTTCTAAGATGGAAGTTGCTCAGGAAGAACAAATGCTGGGGTTTCTGTGGGCACCTCTGGGACCAGATGCTTTACCATGATGCATACAAAGTGTGTGAAGTCCATGGCAAAGCTCCCAGTGACTCCTGGCAGCTTATCCTCCTCAAGATGTGATGCCATGTACGGTAATGGTGTCATCATCATTTGCACTGGGGTCACTGGCTCAGACCCAGAGGTCTCATTTTTTCCTGCTGGGCTCAGTCCTTGGAGCAGATGTACTTGTGGACTTCTTGGGGCTCACCATCTATGTCACGATGGCCTGTGACCTCGGAAGACTGGACTTGGTAGTCAGAGTGGTCCCTTATAGTCCTGTGTTCCTCATTCCCCTGGAAGAATACACTCCAGTGGTGGATTGTTCCCATTCTGAAAGGCAAATTCATTCAGGCAGGTTTCTGCTACACTGTCCAACTTGCCAAGAATGCCAAAAATGCAGTGTAAAACCAGAGCTGAAGCTGGTTTCCAGTGCCTCCCCACTGGCATGCCTGGAGGGCAGAGCGACAACGTAGGAGGCCCAGAAACACATGCAGCACAGCAAGGAATATCAGAAAATAACATGGTCCAAGGGAAGAAAAACATCCTATGGGGAGAAGCAGGATCTGTGACCTAGGACCTAAACTGTGGCAAATGCTGGTGCCTCAGTCATTGGCAGCCTTCAGCACGGGACACACAGGGGCCTGGTTGGCAGAGGTGCTTCACACCCACTGCCCAGTTAAAGCCCAGTTTACCACTCCAGTTACAGAGCCACAAGTGCTCAGCTCCTGAGCCAACCAGGACTGGGCACCTCCTTTGTGAATTCTGGGCCTGGGTTCTCTGTTCCTGGGTTTCTCCATCTATAAAGTGAAGGCTGGATCCACCCAAGCTGCAAATTTTGAGGCCCATTAATGAAAAAAAACTCCCTCAATTTGCTTTTCATCCTGTCTCTCTCCGTAACTGGGCAGAGGCCTAAGCACCTCTGACTTGGGGTTGTAGCTGAATGTCGCCATAATGTAAGGTGTTTGGGCACAAGGGGCAGCTTGGGGCCTGCCCACCCTAACCCAGGTCAAGAGTGCTGCATCTGAGTTCAGGGTGGGTGGTCTTCCAGGTGAAACATTAGGCCAAGACTCAGAAAATTTGGAAGGACCACAGACCCCCCTATGGGATGACTTGACCACATGGGGCTGGGTTCTCAAGGGCTGAGTGTCTGCAATGGACACATTTCCCAAAGAACTCAGCTCCTGTTCAGGCAGATCTTTTTTAGAGATCAGTACCCATCATATGGAAATTCTGGCTGAGCTGTGGGGACCAAGTGCTTCTGAGCCTCATTTCCCCTTCTCCGGGACGTGGGTGATGATAACACTGTCCTACCTCAGAGGAGCTTTGTGAAGGTAACTCCTCTGGGCCTGGTGCTCACAGGACTGAGGATGGCACCTGTAAGGGTGACAGCAAATCCCCTATAATTCACAGCACTTAAGGCTGAAGGGACTATGAGATTCATCCTGTCTGGCTTCCAGTCTAACCCAGAGACCCTTATCCTGTTGAACCAAACAAGCAGGTTCACAGCTGGGCAGGGCTCAGATCTAGGGTCCCAGCTCCTACCTGCCTGCAGTATCGCTAAGCCCCAACAGAGCTGGTGAGGGATTGAGCAGCTGGGTGTCAGCTGGAACAAAGCTGCATACACCAGCTAGGACAAGGCCTAGCCTCAGATACTTTTGCTCCTTTGTTGCAAATGTGAGTGGAAGGTCACAGCTCCCTGCAAGTCCAGCCCAGCTGCTAAAAGGGTATTGTTCATCCTCCCACTCCTACCCAGCCAAAGGGGATGGCCTCATACCCTAGTCTGGCTGCTCTGTTTTCAACAGGGGGGTTGAGCGCTTTGGAAGAACCAGCCTGACCTGTTTGCTATCAGGACTGGATCCTCCCAAGGGGGACAGGAGGTGGGAGGGATGCAGGGTGGGGGAAAGAGGAGGGACACCAGACAACCTCGGGGTTGGGTTGTGGGGAAAGATCCTACCCTCGTCGTCCTCTTCACACCAGTACACTGGGCAGCGGGAGAGGCAGCGTGACCTCAGAGGTGTCTGCTCCGATTCAGAGGAAAGCTCGGGGAGAACCAGTGCTACGATGGAGCTGCCCCTGGTGCTGCTGGTGCTGACTGGGAGCTGCCTGGTCAAGGGCCTAGGTAAGTTTTTGTTACTACAGGGGATGTTATCAGGTGCTGCCTTTCCTTTGTGAGGAGTGGCTGAAGGCTGTGGGGAGGGAGAGCTCTAGGAGCCGACAGGTTTTTTCTGCTAAATCCATAATGGAAGAAGGGAATTTGGTGGAGATGGGGCGTTCCTCTCCAAAACATCAGTCGGGGAGACATGAAACCCCTTGTATCCTACAGCTGTTGAATGGCTTTGCATTAAGATCACTGCGCCTGCTGCTCTTGGGGAAGCGTTTGAGGCCTGATCCAAAGCTCACTGGAGAGAGTGGAAAGACCCACCGATTTCCACTGGGCTTTGGGTCAGCTGCATGGTGAGTGCCTCGGGACCAGCTTGCTGCCAGAGGCAGGTGGCCCTGGCATCAGCATGGAGCTGGGCTGTGTTCCCACCCCTGGCTTTCACTTGGCTAGAGGGACCTCTGGGTCTTCTCTCCCTGGGCAGTCACACAGCCTCAGAGTAGCAGGGAGAGCTGGGCCTCTGAACTGGGCATCTACTGTTTGGATTTGCTAATGTGGGCAAGGAGCTGGGCACCTCTTGGAAGAGACTGAAACCAGGGCCACCTGCAGCTCTGTGGTGAAATGAAGCTCATGGAACCAGTCCGTTCCCCCTGGCCCAGCGTCTACACTGGGTAGCTATGGCAATAGTCAGCTGCAATGAAGGGGGCATGGAGCTGAATGGGCTGTGGAGACTGAACGGTCTTCTCATGGTGCAAGTGGCCTCTCCACACCAGGGCTGGGGCCCATTGGCCCTGCTGGTGTCCATGCTGTACCCATCTGGGTCAGGGATTGTAAGCTGTCTGGGGCAGGGGATATCTGTATCTTGGGCCTCATTGACAGCAGCAAGTGCCTCATTGCAACTACAACACAACTGAGCAATAAAGACTCCGGGGTCCAGAGCTGCCAGTCCAGCAGCCTGTTCAGTCACAGAGGACTACGGGGCTCCTTTAGAACTGGACTGGGCAAGCACTGGCCCATGGCCTGTGAGGGACAATTTGGAAAGGCCTGGACAGGAGCAAGTACAACCGGTTACACCTCTGCGATTAGCACCAGCAGATATTCAGGTGATACTAGTTTGAGCCGTGAACTCCCAGAGACATGTGAGGGGAACTGGTGAAAGCATTAGTTTAGCAGTTCTCCTCTTTCATGCTCCTCCCCAAGTCCATCCCTGCTGGCCCCAGGCTCCGGCTGCTTTTGGAGTTCTGGGATCGAGCCCCACAGCCCCTGCTGGGCACCAGACATCTTTAAACCTCATGTACTTCCCACACAAAGCACAAGAAGCTGCTGAGATCTTTCCAGACATGCATGCGTGTCCAGCAAGACAGGCTGGGTAGGGGGTGGGCAGGCAGGGAGACACTGGAAGGACCACGGCAGGCGAGCATGCTGGAAGAGGAGGTGAGCAGGTGTTTGGGGGCTTGCTTACTTTGTTGGAGGAGGATGGGGATGGTCTCCAGAGGTTTGGAAGTTAGGATAGGGCAGAGCTCTAGTAGCCTGTTCATCTGCTTTGCAGGAAGCCCTTTCCCAGGTTGAACCGTGGGGGCATCAGTCACATTGGTGCCCAGGGCACAGATCAGCTGGCACAGATCAGTGTTGCTCTATTGTAGGCAGCAAGCAATGCCTTTTTGCCTCTGGAGCCCTGCCAGCCTAGAGCAAAGAAGGAGCCAGCCCAGAATGCCAGCAGGAGCCTTGAAAGCGAATGCAGCTGAGGCACAGTCCCTGATTTAGGATGACAGGGACCTCCAAGATTGCATGGTCCATCCCCTGCACAGACACAGGATTTCCTGCTCCCAAACTAGCCCAGGCAGCTGTCTGGGGTTGGTTTGAGGCACCTGGTTTGTCCATTTATCACTTGGCAGTGAGGCAGTGAAAATCCAAATGGTGCTAAGCCTCACCCTGCACATGCCTGTGGTCTTTTATTCCCAGTGCAACTTCTGATGGATCCCCCATGCAGTGGAAAAGGGGAAGGCTTGAACACCGTCTCTCTCTGGCCCTACCATGTGTTCCCCTTACTGGCACTTACTGTGTTCCCCTTTGTGGTCCCCCAGAGCTCGTGCCCTACACGCCGCAGATCACAGGCAACTCCCTGGAAGGGAAGCTCACAGCTTCCACCTTCAGCCTGGACCAGCCCATCTGCATCTTCGATCAGTATGTGAACGCCACTGATGACATCTGGCTAGTTGTTGCCTTCGCTAATGGTATGTGCTGCTAACCTCACTGTACCTCTTGCTCGTTTGACTTTACTTGCATTAGGACACACTGTCTGTCAAGGAGGAACACCACTGCCTCTACTTACCTTCTGCTTCCTTGGTCCCATTTGAACTCTGCCTCTTCTCTAGGGGGCACCGGTTTGTAGCTCCACTGTCTTTCCCACCTAATCTATAGCCACTGGGGTAGCAAAGGCAGCCTGGGCAGGAAAAGGCACTGAGAGGCCTAGGCACTCATCCTGGCTCTGCTACTGGCTTACTCTGTAGCTTTGAGCAATTAATTCACTTAGGCTTGAATTTCCAGAATGACTTCTGATGCCCAGGGCCTCAAGATTGAGAGATCTAAGATAGTGGGAAAACTATGTAAGAGCTCACCCTGAGGGCTCCCAATGTCTTTTTCAGTCCAGGCAGGGTGGACAGCTGCCATCCAGACTATCTGCACTGCCTCCAGCCATTGGTAAAGGGAAACATGCTTTCCTAGGCCTTCAAGGCCAATAGTTTGAATAGTAGTAATGGGCGTTAGCCCATGCACCTGCGTGGAATTTTAGGGTAAGGGGCTGATAGATTCCCAGGAATGTGGGGTCAGCCATGGTGGGTCGGAGCCACCGGTCCTGCAGGTTTGTCGTCTCTACTCTAGTTAATGCCTGAGGGGAAACCTTGGCCCTCGGTTTGCTCCCAGCTGCTGCACCAGACTGTGTGGAGGGGAGGGGAGGGGAGAGATGTACCTTTCTGAGTCCTGCACATGATCAGCTCCCACCCTGGAGCATGGCCCTCAACTGCTCTTATCTCATCCTGTTTACAATGGGGATAACTTCATCTGCCCTTTTGCAGATATCTGCCTCTGGGGCAGAGGTGCTCATAACGGTCCTGTGATATTCCCAGCCCAGCCAGTAGGGCCAGTGTTGCCTGCCAACTACCATCCACTCTGTTGCTGTTGCATCTTAGGTTCCCATCTCCTCCCCAGGCCTGGAACATTTCTATCCTCCTGTGTATCACAGTCTACCTATGTGGCCCTGCTGCCAGTCCATCAATAGGCTCTCCCATGTCCCCCACCCTGCAGGCTGCTCAGTGCTCTCCATCTTTGTAGGGGAGAGGGGGACACTGTCATTGGCACCCACAGGCACCAGTTGATATGGCCTTGCCATTCAGCAGACATGTTCCACTCTGGCTTTGGCTTCTCCTGCACAGCCATGCTATAAAGATGCAGGCAGGACTCATGGCCATTGTCATAGGACAGTGCCAGATTACCCCAGGAGTTTTGCCAGCCTACACCAAACAAGAAAGACATGCAGTAGGGATGCAGTTTCTCTACCAAGAGGTCTCCCAGGCCTGGGGTAGGATTTTGCTACAGAGTTTATGTGGGTGAGCAGTACCCCAGGCTGAACAGCAGGGTTAGCCTGGCTGAGGTGCGAGCAGCCACAGGGCACAACACCATCTGTATTAATGCACCTTCCCAGGACTGCCCTCTGAGCATGTCACTAGGAGGAATGCAAGCATTCAAGTGATGTAACCTGTGTCCTTGCTGCAGATTACCAGCCCCAGTGGAAGCCTTAAGTAGGTTTTATCCTGTTTAGCCTAAGTGTAAAGCACCACCTAACTCAGGTCAGAGACCAGAGGAGGTGTTGGCGCAGTGCCCAAGGGAGAGCCCAAGTTCACTCTCTGCTGGCCACATGCCCTTTTTCAGGTTATAAGCCCAGCCTCTGCTATAGCTACAGCAGCAGCCTTGTGCTTTTAGAGCAGACAGGTGCAAGCTGAAGCCTCACCTCTAGTCCTGAACAGGTGTAGTGTTTGCAAGTCTGCTGTAACCAGGACCTTGACCAGTCCTGAGACCATCCCTGCTCTGTGTGTGTTTCTAGTTGTACAGTGTTTGGATTGCAGATTTTTAGTGTGTTCATATCCCTAGGATCACAGTACCTGAGCCCCTCCGTGGCAACAGAGTTAGCCTCCCAGCATGTCTCCATGACATGAGGAAGGTTGAGATTTTCATTGTATCCACAGGCAATTAAGGTACAGAAAGGTTAAATGACAGCCCAAAGTCACCTAGGAAGTTACTGGCAAGGCTGGGATTCAACCCTGACCCCCCAGGATCTTGGCATTGCCTCAAGTCTGTCTCTCACCCCCAATCTGATCAATGCTCCCTCTCACCTCATCTTTAACCAACAGCAACCTCCAGTTTAAAAAACCCAACATCTCGCACTGACATCCCACCTTACCAGCGGCTCTCGACTGCTCTCCATTACATGACCTTGAGGACTACCATCGCCTTCTTCCCATGTCCTAGGAGCAGCAACACAAGCGTGCTCCGAGTAGGCAGTGATGCTTTCTGCAGGAACGACAACAGCCGGCAGCACTGCAATGGACCCCTGCCCAACCCCGGGCCCTACAGGTGAGGCAAGATGACCCCAAGGTAAATCAGCAAGGCATCACCTGCCTCCAGGGGCACATCCCCCATCATGTACACCCAGGGGGATGCAGAATAACCTCTTGGCAGTCTGTAGAAACCTTCAGTCAGTGAAACAGGCAGCTGGAGGCAGGAGGGGGCTCAGTCCAGCTGTACATGGAGAAGGGAGGTCAATGGGTTTTTTGGATTGCAGTAGGTAGCTCTGAAGAGCGCCAGGCATAGAGCAGGGCCTCTCTGTGCTAGGCACTGTACAAACACAGCACAGAAAGAGGTCCCCAAAGAGCTTACTGTTAAGACATTAAACATCTTTCATATTAAGGTCCCCGACTCTTCTCTCCCAGCCTTGTGAGTTCCCTATCACCTCTGAGCAGTACAGCATCTTGGACTGGACAGGCACCTGGATGGGATCATATGATCCCAGGTTTGATGACCCTTTTCTTGCCTGCCAGGGGCAGCGGGTTGGACTAGATGGCCCACTGAGGTCCCTTCCGACCCTATGAATCTTTCCACCTTGACTGCAGCTGAGTTTTCTCTCCCCCAGTTACTTCTCTCTCCAGCATATGCATGCTCTAAGGAGATTCCTGGTTCTTTTTCACCCACTTTATATGGCTGGGCTGACTAAGGGACAAGGAAGGTCAACGACATTTCCCCGGAGCCTTCTGGCTTCCAGTCCTTGGACCACAGGGTTAAGGATCTTGTGCTTGTTAACGATTCAGTTGCCTTAGCGACTCCTGGGCTCTTGAAGAACTCATGCCCCCGATGTGTTCCTGGCTCCTGTCCTTAGAATCGTGATGTAGGTGCCACCTGCACCTCTTCAGGAGAAGGAGGGAAGATTTCTCCTCCATTCTCTTCTTCCTACTTATTCTGACATGTGATCCCACAGGACCTGAGATGCTTTGGGGACCTTGAGCCTGGGATTTTTTTATGCTTGCTCTCTCTTGTTTCCCAAAGAGCAGATTCGGAGAGGGCAAGATCACAATCCATTTGTTCCTACACTACATGGCTTCTCAGAGCAGGGGCTTCCTTCATGTTTCCAGTCAAAGTGAGACCCAATAGCTGGACACTGAAAAGAAACAAATGCACATGAGAAATATGGACGGATGTTTAAATAGGGAGGATAATTAACTGCTGGGGATTCTCCAGCACTCAAGAATCACTATCTGTCCTTCCAAAAGAAATGTCACAACTCAAAAAGAAGCTACAGCCTCACTCCAGTAATGAATGATAAGGCTCTGTGGCCTGCAGAAGGGACAATATCAGTCCTTTCCAGCCTTAAAATTCGGACAAGATAAAAGCCCAGAGCATCTGCTGGTCTCATGCACTACAGCTCCTTTAGATCCAGCACAGGTCCATCACTTCATACCAGCAGAGCCTCAGCCCCTCCAGTAGGCAGGAGTCTTGGACTGGCTAACATGGACAGACCCAGGGATTGCCTGTTAAACAGGATGTTTTTTATCATGGAGCACAAGAGACCTATCTGGCTTTGCAGTTTGCTTCAGCATCTCTGGTGCCAAAGGGAAAGA